ATCACTGGACTACAAGTTCTCTTGGCCAATGTGACTAAGACTAGTGGTTGATGAGTAAATTAAAATAAAGCAAAGAAACACACACACACACACACATACATACACACACACACACACACACACTCTTTCTTTCTTTCTAATGTGCTGCTTGGTCCAAACTAAGAGAGGAAGAATATCACACTTCAAGGCAAAAAATGTCAACTTCAAAAATGATTTTCTCAGTAAGTTTAAAAAGGATGAATATTTAGAGCAAAGATATGCATAAAAATTATTAATTAATATATAAAACAAGAGTTAAAAGACTAGTACTGTGTGACTCCAAAAATTCACTTGAAAAGGTAAACTCTGAGGTTGGTGGAGTGGCTGAAGTGGTATAACACCTGCCTAGCAAGTGTGAGGCCCTATTCAAACCCTAGTACCATGCCAAAAAAAAAAAACAAAACCAAAAAATCACTAAAAGATAAACTCTAAGCTGGGCATTGTGGCATATATCCATAATCCCAGCACTTGGGAAGCTGAGCCAGGATGATCAGAAGTTCAAGGCTAGGCTACAAAGAGAGAACCTGTCACAAAACCCAAACAAACCTCTTTTATTAGGTTAGTCATTTGAGATTTTGTTTCGAAATGAAAGATAAATTTTCCCCCTCTCTGCCTACCACATGGAATCTGAAAATAAATAAAATATATAAGATTTTCTTCAAAAAAGAAGTTAGAAATTTTAAGACAAATATAGTCGGAATCAAACCCAGGGCCTCCTGCATGCTAGACAAGCATTCCACCAGGCCTACGATATTTTATTTTTATGAATAAAAAGTATTAAAAAATAATATGATCAAGCCAAAAAGTAGGTTTTAGGCCTCAGAAATACAAGTACTTTTGGCTTAGGAATCTTTTGCCTTACCTTTAATAATTCAAAATAATGCCAACAATGATACACTGGCACCAGCATAAGGCGTGGAAGAACATAACGAACTGCTTCCTTAAAGCCATCAGCAATGGACTGCAAAGCAAAAACACATAGTACATCTCTGATACCAAGGACACATTACAGCAGTGCTTAATAGAGCTGTATCTTAAAAATATGAGGTATACACTTATGAAGTTTTAATGGAAAGCACGTCTTATGTTGAAATTAAAGTACTACAAATCAAGTTTTCCCCTCTTTCCTCCTTTGAGTTATTACATAAATATATATATTTCTTCATCTCTTACATGGCTAAATAACTTTCACAGTAGTCTTCTATAGCTTTCCTTCAAACATGTGGCTTCCACATACACTAAAGGATTTCTGAAAAGCTATTTACACTCTTGTACATTTTTATGTTGTCATCAAAAATATTTTAAGTTTACCCAGGCATGGTGGTGAACACCTATAAATCCCACCACTCAGAGGCTGAGGCAGGAGGATTGTAAGTTCCAACAAGAGCCTGTGTAAAAAAAGAAGAAAAGAAAAAGAAGAAAGAAAAGAAGGAAAGGGAAAGGCAAAGGAAAGAAAGAGAAAAGGAAAGAAAAAAGAAATGTTTTAAACTTAAATAGTTACAATATATTTTTGGAGCTGTTGTATACTGCAAATGTGACTTAAATATAATTTGCCAATGAGTGAATAAATTTAACATTTAGCTTATTTATGAAAAATACATTATAATAACTGACAAAGCCAATCTCCACTAACAAAACAATCACATTAGACTTAATTTGTCCGAAAGCCTGTCTTCATTCTTAAATTCAAATAAACATATCAATATCATGGTCTCAAATCTGGTAGAGCTTACAACTGTTTTTATCGTAACAGACTCAGGCATAAGAACTTTTCAAGTGTCTCCTCTCCTATACACCAAATGAACTATGAAGTACTGTTTTTAAAAACTTCATAGTCTCCTTTGTGATTGGTAAAGTATCTCGTTTCTTAGTTCTTGGGTAGTCAGACATAGGCAGATAGGAAATTTTACTACCAATATTTTTTTTTTTTAACCTTAATCACCTCACACCTTTCTTCTGGAAAATTCTACTCCATGAACTCTGAAAAGCAATACTTTTTTTTTTTTTCCTGGTTGGTGCCCTGAAAGTTTTTACACCTTAGATCAACACATGATAGGAACTGAGTATGGCAAAAGGTATTATGTAAAAGAAGTTGGAGAAGAAAATGAAAAATAAACACACATGAAGATGGTAAAAAAACAAAACAAAACAAAAACTATGAAGATGACTGAGTGCAAAGTGGAAACAGTGAAAAAGTGGCCAGCTAGAGTGAAGTAAAGCTTGTCTATATGCTTGTGTGAGGACAATACAGACCTGAGCACATTCATACCCTGAGAGGACAGAGGCAGTCTAGATACAGAAGTCTCCACAGCTAATAAACAATACCTATGCCAATGTAACCTTTGTTGTAAATGTTGACAGAGGGTGAGTATAATTTTGTCTCTTTCCATTTATTTTCACTTTATCTAACTGCATTATAGAGCCAAGTAGCCTGCACACTCCCTTCAATATGATATTTATCTCCTTTACATTGTAGGGCTGAGAGAAAAGTAAGTATGTGTGAGCCTATTCTTCACTCCTTATACTGAAATAGCTCTGAAGATTCATCTCTATATTCCTAATCTCCAACGTGCCAGATTCTTCTGGTCATTCAGTATTTGTGATATTGTACATTAAGAACAGATAGAAAGATCTCAAAGCAGAAAATAGAAGACAATTTAAAAGAAGCTTAGAATTAACAAGATTTTAAGGACTGATTAAATATTTTCTCACTTGCTTTATAAAAAAAGTATAATTAAAATTAAAAATAAATTAAATTAAATTAAAATTATTTCTTTACTTATTTTATTTTAAAAATAACAATGAATTTAAGTTTACCTGAAAGTGTAAAGCAACTGCAGGTCTGGTCATCAACTTACTGAAGTGTTCATTAAACTCTGGTGAAAGAATGTCCTGTGATAATGTTTCATAGGGATCAAATGCTTGTTCCTGTTTTTAAAAAAATGAAAATGTATTAGGTTTAAAAGAGTATCTTTTCTCCTAATATGGTATAGATTACTTAATGGCAATTTTTTGTTTAAGTCCTCAACTGGGTTCCATCACTTTTGTTCTCTATTTTGGAGGGACAAATAATAACTATGGGTGCAACTGATACAACTTTAAAACGTTAAGCTCAGACTTTGAGCAATAAATGAAAAGTCTTAAAATAGGACACTTAAAATAGTTTGGTACTTTGTAGTCACTAGTATCAAACTATTAACATGCACATTTTATTCCCAGTAAATTAAAACTGCATTTTTTAGTAAGATGAAGGTTGGAAAGTCAGTTAGGCTTACTACATAGGTTGTAATGAGTTCACATTTAGGATATTCCCAAATGAAGCGAAATTGATTCCTGTTTTATCTACTGTATAGTTTCCAAAATTAGAAAGAGCAAAGGTGGTACATAATAAAATAAAGTAGAAATTGCTATACTTTGTCCAATGTTTATATTTAAACAAATTCCTATGATAATGATCATAACCCCAATGTTTATTTAGTTAAACCTAGGAGATTTGTTTCCATTTTGCACCTTAAAAATACAAAACTGAGCCACGTGCTGGTAGCTCATGTCTGTAATCCCAGCTATTCAGGAGGCAGAGGTCAGGCGGATCATGGTTCAAAGTCAGCCAGAAAAACAATTCTCAAGACCCTATCTCAAAAAAACCCATCCCAAAAAAAGGGCTGGTGGAGTGGCTCAAGGAGTAGGCCCTGAGTTCAAGCCCCAGTACCGCAAAAAAAAAAAAAAGGCATTGTCATTTTTTGTTTTGTTTTTTCAAAAATAAATAAGTACTGAAAAAGAGGCAGAGAGATTAGAATTCTTTGATTGCCAGTGGGAGTGCAAAATGGTATACAGCCTTCATGGAAAACAATTTGCCAGTTCCTCAAAAAATTAAACACAGAATTATCCTATGATCCAGTGTTTTCACTGAAAACAATGCAGCATTACTCACAATAGCTATAAGATGGAGAAAGCCAAATGTCCACCGGCCAGCGGGTGGATAAACCAAATGTGGTACAGGCTGAGAACACTTATTGGAAATGCCTGAGACCCAGAAGTGCTTTAGATTTTGAAGCTTCTATATTTAGTTTTTTTGTTTTATTTTAATATTTACATAGACTTTACTTGTGCTGCCTCAAAGTGCATGCTTTGAAATTCAAAACTTTTGAGCATCAGCCACATCAGCCAGCATTCAAAAAGTTTCAGATTACAGAGCATTTCAGATTTTGGATTTTCAGATTAAGAATGTTCTACCTAAATATACATGAAATGGAATATTATTCATCCATAGAAAGGAATAATGTTCCAACACATGCACTGACATAGATAAACCTTAAAACATTATGCTAAATAAAATAAGCAGACAGAAAAGATTATAAGAAATATAATAAGCAAATTCACAGAGATAGAAAGAAGATCAGAAATTGTCAAGAGTTAGGGGAGAAGATTCCAAGACGGCAACTAGAGGGAGGAAGCAGAAAGCGTGCTTCCTAAAGTAAACTCTTGGAGAGATGCTGGAGATACACCTGTACAGGAAGCCTCCAGAACACCAAACAGACCTGACCAAACTATAACTACCCCATGACATATTATCATTAAAACAACAAGTACAGAGACTAGAGAAAGAATATTGAAGGCTGTAAGAGAGAAAAAACAAATAACATACAA